CGATCTTTACCGCCAACGCCACTATTCTCTGTGTTCAAATATATTTTATTGCCATATTTATCATCAACAGGATTGGGCGCCAGTAATTACAACATTATTTACGCTTTCTCCCAAAACAAACTACAATCACAACATTTTGCAAACAAATAAATCATGAATCTATATAGATATTGGAAAAGTTGTCTTTGGGAGAAGACTGATATAGGCTCTAGCCTGCAGTCTAATCCTAATGATTGTTTATATCAATAAAATACTGGAATACTGGAAATTTACAGTGATCCACGAACTAAGCGAAAAAATCAATTAGAATTTAATTTGAAATATATATTGTTATATTAAATGAAATTCTATATATTAGTTCATCAGAATAATTCTACGCCACCAACAGTTTTCCACCGAATGTTTAATATATGGTATAATTTTGATAAACCTTACGATAATCTGTTATTCCTAAACAGTAACAAGCTGGTTTAACTCACAGCCTTTACATGTTGCGTTAGATTGGTCATTCTAGGGCTTGGTCCCAATATCATCATTTCCATGAAAAATGTCGACAGCTGTCAGAATAACGTACAACTCGAGGGATACATGTTAACTTTGGGGTTGTTAGGTGGCAGCCACCATGATCCCATTGGGTAATTTTACTATTAACTGCGACACAACTTGAATTAAGCAAGAGGAGCGAAAGGCGTTTATTTTACCAAAAGACATTGTTCTACTGATACCCATGGTTTAAATCTTCTTTCATTTCACAGTGAATATTAACTCCGTCCCAATTTGCCTTCTCCAGAGATATTGTTGAAATGACAACTGGTTGAAAATTTGCCTACTGATGAAGGTATTTTGGTGCAAACAATTAAAAAAAATGTTGCGCTCAAAAGTAGTCTTTAATTTACAGCAGACATTGTTGATGAAAAATGACAAAATGGACCGCGGATAGCCTTCACTTAGATTTTCCGCTATCATACTACAATGGCATAGGTGTGTTACAGTATACGTATATATCTACAGAAGTCCGTTACAGACCAACATTATCATTGATTCATATGATAAGTCCACACTACCAGAGGAGGAAAGGCTGGTAGCCCTGTGATACACAGACCTCCTTCTAATGGAGGTTTTCTATAGCATTACTACAGCATTGTAAACCATTATAAACGTTTTCACCCTTAATGTAGTCAAAGATAGCGAATCACACAAAACCGAAGCTTAGAAGTGCCCTTCTCCTGTAAACAGTCTCAGATATAGCCATACTATATGGTATCAGGATTTGTTGTTTGGCATTATATTTAGTATGCTGCATTGAAGCCGATAGATAATTGTTACGGCTATTTTTGGAGGAATTGAAGAATGCGTTCATTGATTCACAATGCGGAGTAACAGCACAGTGCATTCTAGCCCGTTAGACAGGAGATTTATACCACCACAGTACTTCCAATACACTGAATCAATAACTAAACGAAAGGAGCAACACCGTCAATAAATTCCTTTCTATGTGATTCAAATTATTTCGCGGTGGTTGTGACTACATATGGGAGGTTGAGATACTTTTTTTTCATGTATCCCTTTTGTTCAAATTGCACAATTAGCTCCATGTGTTATGTTCCCTGTGTTAATGTTGTTTTTTATCCCCATAATCTCTATAAAAATACTTCTGATGTAACTTCCATCATCCTGGAGAGAGATGTATGATATGATAAATCTACAAAATACCGAAGGGTTAATACACTTGTATATACAACTGCCATAGCAACAGGGAAGTTTAAATTGTTTGATAAAACTAGAGAATACCAAAGTACCAAACACATAATAAGACAGGAGAATATCCAAGATTTTACAAAAGGCTGGCAAGTGAATAGCATTTTTAATACAGATTTAAAGGTAGATCAGCAGAGCTAAACAATGAATTAACACAGCTGTTTCTAGGTCTCGTCAGTGATGCTAAGATCCTAAACTTTGAAGCCCAGCAGGCAACCCGAGAAAACCCAAAATGATTAAAAAAAAAGAATGCAAATCTACATTTTAAATATGAAGATGAATTAATCCTATAACTTAAACAAAGTTTAAACGGAACATTGACAAGTATAAAAACACATGATGAAACTAGAGAATATCGAAGTGTTACCGTACAATAAGTTATACGTTAACACTAGAGAATACCGAAGTGTTACCGTTCAATATATCCGCCATGTCGTAAAAAAGTAGTAGTTATATGTTAACACTAGAGAATACCGAAATGTTACCGTACAATGTATCCGCCATGTCGTAAGAAAGTATGAGTTATATGTTAACATTAGAGAATACCGAAGTGTTACCGTTCAATATATCCACCATGTCGTAAGAAAGTATTAGTTATATGTTAACACTAGAGAATACCGAAATGTTACCGTACAATGTATCCGCCATGTCGTAAGAAAGTATGAGTTATATGTTAACACTAGAGAATACCGAAATGTTACCGTACAATATATCCGCCATGTCGTAAGAATGTATTAGTTATATGTTTACACTAGAGAATACCGAAGTGTTACCGTTCAATGTTTCCCCCATGTCGTAGGGAAATATGAATTATATGTTAACACATATAGTGAAAATCGAAGTGTTAACGTAAAACCACGTCACAGGGAAGAATTAGTTATATGTTAAAAATAGAGAATACCGAAGTATTATAATAACCATATCACAGGGAAGTATAAATTGTGTGGTAAAACTAGAGAACACTGAAGGTTAAAGTTATCAACATGTCACAGGGAAGCATGAATTACATTTGATATGACAAGGGCCGTCAGAGATGGGTTATAAACAAAATTGAAGTATGCAAATTTAGAAAGGGCAATAACTCCTCAATTATACAAAAGAAAGTAATGGTTATGGTGCACTGCACTCCTCCTTGCTGAGATCTATCTACCTATGAAGTTTTATATTGATACCACATATATATATATATTTTTGTATTATACTCCGGACAAAATTATGACGGACTAAGCGGCGTCTACGTGCTCTCCCATCGGGGAGCATAATAACACTATGGAACACCGAAGTGTTAACTTTATTTCAGTCACAGGGAAGTATGAATTGTATGATAAAACCAGAGAACACCAGTATTAAAGTACTTCATGTCCAGAGAGGTATAAACTGTATGATTACACTGGAGAAGATCGAAGTGTTAACGTACCTCACATGTCATATGAAAAAAAATCAGAATAAAACCGGAGAATACTGCAGTCTGAACGTAACCGCTTTGTCACAGGAAATAATGAACAATAAAACTAGAGAATACCGAAGTCCCAACGTTTTCGCTTTGTCACAGGAAATAATGAACAATAAAACTAGAGAATACCGAAGCCCCAACGTTTTGGCTTTGTCACAGGAAATAATGAATAATAAAACTAGAGAATACCGAAGTCCCAGCGTTTTCGCTTTGTCACAGGAAATAATGAATAATAAAACTAGAGAATACCGAAGCCTCAACGTTTTCGCTTTGTCACAGGAAATAATGAATAATAAAACTAGAGAATTCCCGAAGTCAAAACGTTTTCGCTTTGCCACAATGAAGTATGTATAATAAGAAGCCAAAAGGGCCTGCATCGCTCACCTGTTTTGGTTTTATCCAAAGTGAAATGAAAGGTGAACAATTTTGAAGGGCGACGGTCGGTTTACATGGCCACATTTTGATTATATCTAAAGTGTCGATCGTGCCCTTTACATCAAAACAGGTTCTTCTAATATTTTTATCAATTTCGAGTGCTATAGTGTTAACAATTGACAAAAGTTGGTGTCATTACCGAGCCTTGTTTTGTCATAGTTGTACAGTATATGTATGTATGTATGTATGTATGTATGTATGTATGTATGTATGTATGTATGTATCTATGTATGTATGTATGTATGTATGTATATATCGCGAATCCAGTATTTAAAGTAGTAGAAACATATCTGATGTTATATAATAGACTTGTACGATACTATCTCTAAGTAGAGACCTGTCTGTTACTATATCTAAGTAGAGACCTATCTGTACTATGTCTATGTAGAGACCTGTCTGATACTATATCTAAGTAGAGACCTGTCTGTTACTATATCTAAGTAGAGACCTATCTGTACTATGTCTATGTAGAGACCTGTCTGATACTTTAAGTAGAGACCTGTCTGATACTATATCTAAGTAGAGACCTGTCTGTTACTATATCTAAGTAGAGACCTATCTGTTACTATATCTAAGTAGAGACCTGTCTGATACTATATCTAAGTAGAGACCTATCTGTTACTATATCTAAGTAGAGACCTATCTGTTACTATATCTAAGTAGAGACCTATCTGTTACTATATCTAAGTAGAGACCTGTCTGTTACTATATCTAAGTAGAGACCTATCTGTTACTATATCTAAGTAAAGACCTGTCTGATACTATATGTAAGTAGAGACCTGTCTGATACTATATCTAAGTAGAGACCTATCTGTTACTATATCTAAGTAGAGACCTGTCTGTAACTATGTCTAAGTAGAGACCTATCTGTTACTATATCTAAGTAGAGACCTATCTGTTACTATATCTAAGTAGAGACCTGTCTGATACTATATCTAAGTAGAGACCTGTCTGATACTATATCTAAGTAGAGACCTATCTGTTACTATATCTGAGTAGGGACCTGTCTGTTACTATATCTAAGTAGAGACCTGCCTGTTACTATATCTAAGTAGAGACCTGTCTGTTACTATATCTAAGTAGAGACCTATCTGTTACTATATCCGAGTAGAGACCTGCAGCAATTTACCATTTCCATGGTTTAATCGTTGTGTCAATTGATCCGTCTTTCAGTCTCTGTCAGAAGTGGTCCGTTCCTTCTTGTAAACTATTATCCTAGAAAAATGACTGAAATCTACAGCATTTTGTTTGCTGTGTAGATCGCGGAACTCCCGACTAGAACGTGACATCACTGATCTGTAGCGCACCACACCATCACTGAAGTTACTGTATACACAGGGACTGCAACGCCTCACGTGCACTGGAACATGTCTAACTTATTTTCTTTACTCCTTCTTGTGTTTCAGTTCTGTGTTATAGATTCAGAAACATCGGATGGTAAGCATATTTTATTTTTATTTTACAATGTAGTTTCACTGCAGTGTTTGTAGTATAGTAGATAATGTATGCCGGGACCGTTGATGGAATACCATGTGTAACGTAATTTACAGAACGTATGGGGAACTTCTTACCATGCCAATCCGAAATTAGGCAAGATTAGCTTTCAAAATAATTACAATACCCTAACTGGAAAAAATCCAGTTTCATTTGTGTTCATCAGATTAATGCTAAATGTTAGTATGGATATATTTGATAATGGTACGGTTTGCAGTCTTATTCTCAAAAGTAACATGTGTTGGTTTCCATTTTCATTCACTTCAACCACCTTCCATGTTTTTAAACGTGAATTTATCGATTATAAATCTGTGTGATACAATACACGCCCGCGAGGCGTCACTATAACCCGAGCTGATCTCTTGTTCAATTTGCAATTTGTCTGTCTCGCTTAGCAGACAATCACACTAACTACTAAATTAATTTAGTCTATTTTCTGATGGTCCCTGCCATCAATTTTACGCAAAACAATTGCCAGTATCATATATTCTCAATGAATGAGGCCACCTCCTGTCTCATGTCTCTTTTACAAATAAGGTCATCGCCTGTCTCATGTCTCTCTTACAAATATAGTCATCGCCTGTCTCATGTCTCTCTTACAAATAGAGCCATCGCCTGTCTCATGTCTCTCTTACAAATATAGTCATCGCCTGTCTCATGTCTCTCTTACAAATATAGTCATCACCTGTCTCATGTCTCTCTTACAAATAAGGTCATCGCCTGTCTCATGTCTCTCTTACAAATATAGTCATCGCCTGTCTCATGTCTCTCTTACAAATAGAGCCATCGCCTGTCTCATGTCTCTCTTACAAATATAGTCATCGCCTGTCTCACGTCTCTCTTACAAATAGAGTCATCGCCTGTCTCATGTCTCTCTTACAAATAAAGTCATCGCCTGTCGCATGTCTCTCTTACAAATAGAGCCATCGCCTGTCTCATGTCTCTTTTACAAATATAGTCATCGCCTGTCTCATGTCTCTCTTACAAATATAGTCATCGCCTGTCTCATGTCTCTCTTACAAATATAGTCATCGCCTGTCTCATGTCTCTCTTACAAATAGAGTCATCGCCTGTCTCATGTCTCTCTTACAAATAGAGCCATCGCCTGTCTCATGTCTCTCTTACAAATGTAGTCATCGCCTGTCTCATGTCTCTCTTACAAATAGAGTTATCGCCTGTCTCATGTCTCTCTTACAAATAGAGTTATCGCCTGTCTCATGTCTCTCTTACAAATAGAGCCATCGCCTGTCTCATGTCTCTCTTACAAATATAGTCATCGCCTGTCTCATGTCTCTCTTACAAATAGAGCCACCGCCTGTCTCATGTCTCTCTTACAAATAGAGCCATCGCCTGTCTCATGTCTCTCTTACAAATAGAGTCATCGCCTGTCTCATGTCTCTCTTACAAATAGAGCCATCGCCTGTCTCATGTCTCTCTTACAAATAGAGTCATCGCCTGTCTCATGTCTCTCTTACAAATATAGTCATCGCCTGTCTCATGTCTCTCTTACAAATAGAGTCATCGCCTGTCTCATGTCTCTCTTACAAATAGAGCCATCGCCTGTCTCATGTCTCTCTTACAAATAGAGTCATCGCCTGTCTCATGTCTCTCTTACAAATAGAGTCATCGCCTGTCTCATGTCTCTCTTACAAATAGAGTCATCGCCTGTCTCATGTCTCTCTTACAAATAGAGTCATCGCCTGTCTCATGTCTCTCTTACAAATAGAGCCATCGCCTGTCTCATGTCTCTCTTACAAATAGAGTCATCGCCTGTCTCATGTCTCTCTTACAAATAGAGCCATCGCCTGCCTCGTGTCTCTCTTACAAATAGAGTCATCGCCTGTCTCATGTCTCTCTTACAAATAGAGTCATCGCCTGTCTCATGTCTCTCTTACAAATATAGTCATCGCCTGTCTCATGTCTCTCTTACAAATAGAGTCATCGCCTGTCTCATGTCTCTCTTACAAATATAGTCATCGCCTGTCTCATGTCTCTCTTACAAATAGAGTCATCGCCCGTCTCGTGTCTCTCCACTAAATTGATCGCTACCTGTCTCATGTCTCCCCACTAAATTGATCATTGTTTGTCTCATGTCTCTCCACTAAATTGATCACTGTCTTTCTCGTGTCTCTTCTACTAAATTGATCATTGTCTGTCTCGTGTCTTTTCTACTAAATTGATCGCTGCCTGTCTCGTGTCTCCCCACTAAATTGATCATTGTTTTGTGTCTCTTCTACTAAATTGATCACTTCCTGTCTCGCGTCTCTTCACATAATTGATCTTTGTCTGTCTCGCGTCTCTCCACTAAATTGATCACTGTCTGTCTCGTGTCTCTCCTACTAAATTGATCAATGTCTGTCTCGTGTCTCTCCTACTAAATTGATCACTGTCTGTGTCTCTCCTACTAAATTGATCACTGTCTGTCTCTTGTCTCTCCTACTAAATTGATCAATGTCTGTCTCGTGTCTCTCTTACTAAATTGATCACTGTCAGTCTCGTCTCTCCTACTAAATTGATCACTGTCTGTCCTGTCTCGTGTCTCTCCTACTAAATTGATCACTGTCTTTCTCGTGTCTCTCCTACTTAATTGATCATTGTCTGTCTCGTGTCTCTCCTACTAAATTGATCACTGTCTGTCTCGTGTCTCTCCTACTAAATTGATTAATGTCTGTCTCGTGTCTCTCCTACTAAATTGATCACTGTCCTGTCTCGTGTCTCTCCTACTAAAATGATCACTGTCCTGTCTCGTGTCACACCTAATAAATAGATAACATTGTCTGTCTCGTGTCTCTCCTACTAAATTGATCACTGTCTGTCCTGTCTCGTGTCTCTCCTACTAAATTGATCACTGTCTGTCTCGTGTCTCTCCTACTTAATTGATCATTGTCTGTCTCGTGTCTCTCCTACTAAATTGATCACTGTCTGTCTCGTGTCTCTCCTACTAAATTGATTAATGTCTGTCTCGTGTCTCTCCTACTAAATTGATCACTGTCCTGTCTCGTGTCTCTCCTACTAAATTGATCACTGTCCTGTCTCGTGTCTCTCCTACTTAATTGATCATTGTCTGTCTCGTGTCTCTCCTACTAAATTGATCACTGTCTGTCCTGTCTCGTGTCTCTCCTACTAAATTGATCACTGTCTGTCTCGTGTCTCTCCTACTTAATTGATCATTGTCTGTCTCGTGTCTCTCCTACTAAATTGATCACTGTCTGTCTCGTGTCTCTCCTACTAAATTGATCACTGTCTGTCTCGTGTCTCTTCTACTAAATTGATCACTGTCTGTCACGTGTCTCTAATACTTTCTTAATCACTGCCTGTCTCGTGTATCTAATACTAAAATCTCTTCTACAAATGATGCTATTGCCTCGTGTTATCTTTACGTTACCTTCCACTCTGACAAATGATTTTAAATAAGAAGGTCATTGCTCTCTCTCCCTTAAACGTCAGATCATTTCCTGAGCTCAGTATATTACATATGTCTATGTTCCGGTATGTATACACCACCAGCTTCCGGTACTGTGACGTAGCAAGTTGGGATGTTTGGTGTGTTGCAAAACCAAACACGTTCTGTTATAGGTTATAGGTCAAGTGTGAGCAAAGAATACTTACTGGAACCTGTCAGATGAATGATAGGGAGAAGAAAACATAAACAAAATGTCAATTGTATAGAAAGTTTTTATATATCCTATAATATTATATGATTGAAAAGCAGAACACGGGAATTGTATTTAACGGGAGAATACACGGCAAAGAGAGTGACCTTAATTTTAGGGGAGAATATAGGGATAGGAAGTAGCATTAATTTTAGGGGAGAAAACAGCGATAGGAAGTGACCTCAATTTTAGGGGAGAAAACAGGGATAGGAAGTGACCTTGATTTTAGGGGAGAATACAGGGATAGGAAGTGACCTTGATTTTAGGGGATAATACAGGGATAGGAAGTGACCTTAATTTTAGGGGATAATACAGGGATAGGAAGTGACCTTTATTTTAGGGGAGATAACAGGGATAGGAAGTGACCTTAATTTTAGGGGAGAATACAGGGATAGGAAGTAGCATTGATTTTAGGGGATAATACAGGGATAGGAAGTGACCTTTATTTTAGGGGAGAATACAGGGATAGGAAGTGACCTTAATTTTAGGGGAGAATATAGGGATAGGAAGTGACCTTAATTTTAGGGGAGAAAACAGGGATAGGAAGTGACCTTGATTTTAGGGAAGAATATAGGGTTAGGAAGTGACCTTGATTTTAGGGGAGAAAACAGGGATAGGAAGTGACCTTGATTTTAGGGAAGAATATAGGGTTAGGAAGTGACCTTGATTTTAGGGTAGAAAACAGGGATAGGAAGTGACCTTAATTTTAGGGGAGAAAACAGGGATAGGAAGTGACCTTAATTTTAAGGGAGAAAGCAGGGATAGGAAGTGACCTTAATTTTAGGGAAGAATATAGGGATAGGAAGTGACCTTAATTTTAAGGGAGAAAGCAGGGATAGGAAGTGACCTTAATTTTAGGGGAGAAAACAGGGATAGGAAGTGACCTTAATTTTAGGGGAGAATATAGGGATAGGAAGTGACCTTAATTTTAGGGGAGAAAGCAGGGATAGGAAGTGACCTTAATTTTAGGGGAGATAACAGGGATAGGAAGTGACCTTAATTTTAGGGGAGAATACAGGGATAGGAAGTAGCATTGATTTTAGGGGATAATACAGGGATAGGAAGTGACCTTTATTTTAGGGGAGAAAACAGGGATAGGAAGTGACCTTAATTTTAGGGGAGAATACAGGGATAGGAAGTGACCTTAATTTTAGGGGAGAATATAGGGATAGGAAGTGACCTTAATTTTAGGGGAGAAAACAGGGATAGGAAGTGACCTTGATTTTAGGGAAGAATATAGGGTTAGGAAGTGACCTTGATTTTAGGGGAGAAAACAGGGATAGGAAGTGA